AAAAAAAAAAAAAGCTTCTCTTTGTCTCAATAGAATGGCTCCTCCTGTCTCCTTCTCTACTCCCAATAAGTAAATAAGAATCCTACCTCAGATGAAAAGAGGTTAAACAGGAGAAAAGATAGATAAGAAGTGACTACAAAGAAGCAGGCAGGTCTGCCAAAGTGAAAGGAGCCTGGGTAGAAGAGGGTTTGCAAAGGGAAAGGCTGTGTTGGGATAACTCCAAATTCCAAATTTTAGATATGCTATCCAAGGGTCGGACTTGTTTTGTCTGGTCATACATTCATACCCCTTGACTTTCAACATGTCTGGTAGAACATTCTAGATTAACTAATGACCTATTTAAAGTTTATATATGGGAACCCCACAAATTTAAACATAGTTCCTATGCTTCTACTACTGCATTTCCCAAACTATGGGCAAGGTGTCTTCAAGCACCACAGCATACCCATAGAAGTGGACAAAGTGTTTCAAAATTCCAAGGGCATCAATATAGTGGTGGCATCTGTCAAGTAGACATACACTACTAGCTGGAAGTAGGTCACAGTTTATCAGACCTTACATCAGACCTTGGCCAAGGTGTTCAACACAAATATCAACATGGAACTGGAAATTAGTGTGGCAATATCCATTCTGATGACAAAGTTTAGGAAATTCCTGTTCATGGGTAACTTGTTAAAAATGACATAAATATAGATCTATATATTCTATTCAATCAAGTGTAATGTTTTTAACTGATTGCTAAGTTGTCAGGCACAAATAGGTAAGGTATTTATATCTAGGTTCTTAACGAAGCTTCTTTTGGCCTAAGGGTGCTGTAGGAAAAACCTCCCACACACCAGTACCCATGAACTGGGATAGTTTTACAGTTTCCATTGTAACATTTTCAAGAATGTATAAATAGGTGTCAACATCAGAAATAAATGATGCTTTGTTGTCCATTTTTTATATCTATAATACTAATGCTGGGGAAGTTGTGGCACTAAAAGACTGCACATAGGATTCAAAGATTATACTACCCCTCAGGAAGCAACTTAGACACCTGCTGATCTAAGAAGTGGCCCTACACAAAGATGAGTGTCAGAGGGAGGAAGTGACATACAGACTGGACTAATCTCCTTGTTTAGCTGTTTCATTATCCTGGTTTCTGTTTAGCTTCTACCTATTGTACTATGAAGATTCCTCCAGCCAACCACATTTCATGAGCACTCCTTAGTATGTTTGAAGATAGCAAACACGTATCACCAGTACAAAGTAAAGGCATGTGTTTTTTTCTTTAAATAAACTACATAAAAAGGAAACTCTTGTATCCCTTTTATTCTAAAGTATTATACAGTGACTTGCAGCTCATCAAAGAGTCACTACTAGATGCTGTCAAAATAATTTAAGCCATATATTTAATTGGGCAACATTTATAGACTATATGGTTTCATACGTCCTCTTTCCTGGCTTATCTTGGTTCTGTGTCTTGCTTCTTTATTTGCTGGCACAAGAATAGCTGAGTTGCCAATTTAAACTTGTACTTTAATCCAAAGAGTCATAGCTGCGGAGGAGCTCTTGCTACATTACCATGGTTGTCGATTTGACGTAGACATTGTTTTTCAGATGGCAGTTTCCGTCATTCGGCACCACGATGCCTGCCAATTTGCTATCAAGAGCAAGATGAGATGTCTGATCTGTCATCACCAGCAGCAATCTTTTAGCTTCTTTTCGCCATCCAATGTGACTCTTAAAATAAACATGTAATTAGATCTTGTACAATAACATGGATCTGGACTGTGGTCTTTGCCTCAAGTAAAGGATATGTTTGAGTTGACAAACATGAAGTCAGGCTAGAATGATGTGCCCATGTACAATGCTGCTTCATAAATAGCATTCACGTTTATTTCTCTAGCCTCTGTGTCACCACAGTCATTGGACCACACTTAGTTCCTGGCTAGTGATTGCTAGTTTCCACTGGAGAAAGAAAAAGCCAAGTTACAAGGCAGGGCCATAGYGTGGTGTGAATGGGACTACAGGCCATTTATGATTTCTTGGAGTGTGAAGCAGGGAAAAGCAGCTTCGTCAGAAAGGCCTGAGCCATGTACGCAAGCTACTCTTTCCTTTGTATATATATGTCCCTCTCCCAATTTAGCCCCTCTGTCCCAAACACATACCAAAATTAGTAACATTGGGGACCATAAGAGGAGAAAGTATTCTTTTGTACTATGTTTTCACTCCATAAATGAAAGACAAAATAAAAATGTTGATTCTTGGAACATGTGGCATCTGAGCACTAAAACACAACAACGATGCAACTTCTCACCTCACAGACAGCTGCCTGAAGCATGGCGTCAAACCCTCCTTCAGGGGTGTCTATGTTTCCAGAGATCTTTTGTCTGTGAACTGCTTTTTCAAATTCAGTGATGTTTTCTGTCAAAGACAGCACATGGATGTACCCATGGGGAGGCATACAGTCCAAATTGTAGTCACTATATGGGAAAAGAAGAAGTGCAAAGTCTGTTTTGCTTTGCTTCATAAAGTTTCAGAATACTAATAACAGTAAAATTTGTGGAGATGGTAGGAGATGGAAGTAGAATCTTTTTTGCCAGAGAAATTTTAAAACTCAAAAATCTATCAAATTAGATACAAGTTTAACATTGGTGAACATTTCCTTGTGAGCAGGAAATAGAGTTATAAGGTTTGATGTTCAAAAAAACAAAAAGGTTTACTTTTTTTTTTAATGTAGGACAACTAAGGGCTTTTGATATGCTGTGAATTCCTAAGAGGAGCATAAGAATTTGCACTAATTTCCTATCAGGGTTTGCCACTGATAACTTTGCAAACAACAGTGACAAGGAAGAGAGAGGAGGGGAATTCATTCTTCTATAATATGTTCTCACTTGAGAAATCAAAGAAAATGTAAAAATCCTAAATTCTTTGAGAGTGCTGAGAAATACGTTTGGGGAAATATTTTTGGAAATTTAGTTGAAATATCATATTATTTTTTTAATTTCTAAAAATACAGCATTGCACTAATTTTTAAAGTGGTGCTTGTTGTTGATTATTGATGAGCTATCAAAATTCATTAAAACTGTTTTGACAATCCAGTGATATCTCAGAAAGTAAGAACCACTCCTCAGGGTTATTCACCTTCAAGGAGAGACTCAGGAAGCTTCATTAGGAGATAAATCAGCCCTCCTCTGGTCAAACAGATAACAGAGTTATTTTGGTACATTAGAATGTGCAGTGTACGATGAGTTGAGCAATTATAAAAATAGGACATGTATCAAAATAAAATGACTTTTGAAACCAGAACTATACAGATTTATTTCTCTGAATACTCAGCAGGCCAAAGGTATTATGTATGAGAACTTGTAACTTAGGTAAGTTCTCTTTTCACGCTAAGCATGTACTCTGCAGAATCCAAATCGCAAAATGATAAGAAAAAAGTCTCAGACATCAATTCCATCCTTTGACACCTTTCTGTGGGATAACTGAACTTTCTTTGAGGTCATGTAAGAAGGAACATAATTAAACCCAATCACGACAGCAATAGTCAGACAGGTGAACTACTGGTAAGAAAAAGACTGTAAATGTGTCAAACCTTAATTTCACCAATGTGGAACAGTCAGAAAGGAGAAATATAGAATATCCAGACAGGTAATCTATATGTGACAGCATGATTATTGGAAATTAATGCAAAGTGACTAATAAAAAGTAAGGGCTTTTTTTGTGGTGATAAATACTGGATAAATAATATTTGAAGAAATAACAAATTTAAAACCCAAGGTACAAATAAAAGTTTCAAATAGGAACAAACTTCTTCCTGAAAATTTTTTTATTCTTACTTAATAAGAAAAAATTATAAATTTTGCCAAGTTCTTCATATAGAAACAAACAAATGAGATTTTACAGGGAAAAATACATTTACTATTAACAACATCAAGCATTAGATACCTGCATTGATTATGAATCCTTTCAGGGTGGACACTAATGTATGGTGAAACAGTTTTGTCCACATATGAGCCAAATCCAAGGCGGAAGTCACGGGAGAAAAATGCCATTTTTCTAGATAAATCATTTCCAACGGAGTTTAATTTTTCTATGTTATTGTGCATCGATGCTGATACATCAACTAGATAATAAAGATCCACAGGATATTTCTTCAGAGGATGAATTTTCAGCATAAAATTAGCTTCAGCTCCTAATTCAAAGAAAGAAAATGATGATATAGTCTTCATTTTACATATCACAGGATATGCTGTCAATAATTTAGTTGCATTTTAGCACCATGAACAATTATCACAAATTTGCATATTATGAAGTTTAGAATATGCTTGAATAGTTATAAGGCACTTCAAAAATCAATCTATTAGACTCCAAATTCTACAATGCATTTCTCACAGTTCTATAGGCTTGACAAAGATGATAACAAATAGACCAGCTCCATATAATGTAACAGGATACCACCACACAAACCTGTGTGGCCTATTGCCCTCAGTAGCTAAAAAAGCACGGTGTCTCAAAAGGGTATAGATGGTATGCTTATGGAATGATTTGAGGCAAACCAGAAAGATAACTTAAGATGATTGAATGATGCATGTGTAAATTCATTCTTTTGAGTTAAGGCATATTTATGTATGAGATGAGAAACTCTTGTATGAACAGTATGTTAAAATTTTCAAAATAATAAATATTTCATCAATGAATTAATTGACAAAGTTCTTCTCATCAGTTAGCAAATGGGACAGTGACCTAAAGAATCATACCCAGTGGTACCATGTTGAAGACCTGGAAGATGTCCACCTAACACATAATAGGGATTAAATAAATACACACTGGAGAGGGATCACTGAGGTGAGGCTTTGGCCTTGATATAAATATAAGTGGATGTGAAAAGAGAGTCACCCCAAGGAGAAATGGGGAGTGATTCCCAAGGACAACTGTCTGTAATGTTTAATTTAGTTCTCTGTTATGTCATTTGATTCAAGGACTTGGACCATTCCCCTAGAGTTGGGGGCAGGTCTGCTTTTAATTTAAAATATATTGGGAAAAGTAATTGTTTATAGCTTTAAACAATAAAGGAAATACTTTTAATTGATTAATTGTTCCTGGAGATTATTTTGAGTGGAAAGCATTTTTTTAAACATAAATTTGAATTTGTATACATAATTGATAGACAGGTATTCTTATTAAAGGAATCCCCAGATTGACCAAATCTTAATGAATGTAAAGTAGCAGTATTTTCTTTTAAATCATTTCACGAATCAAATGTTTTCAAAACCCCTTTAGTGTAATGCTCCTAGGGTTGTAACTCAAGAGTTTGGAAGGAGAAATCAGGTTTGTTTAGTCCAGCCCAGCCCATTCCCTCACCAATTCCCTTTAGATTCTGAGCTGTCTCCAGAGAACATTTATTCTGCTCAGTTTTGGGACTTCTTATGAACAAGCCTGTTCCTGTGAAGTGTTCCGCAATTTGGGTAGAGAAATTAAATTTAGGAGAATATTAGAAACTGGATTCAGGGCCAGATTAATGAGAAATAGCACAACTGTGAAGCGTAGTTTGTGGGACTTGAACTTGAATATGTAATGAAGGGACTTGCACTTTAATGTGTAGTCAGGATTTATTTTAAATTTTTTAAAATTTATTTATTTTTATATTGGGGATTATATTGCTTAACCACCAAGCCATGTCCCCAGCCTTTTCTATTTTTATTTTTTAATTTTGAGACAGGACCTCCCTAAGTTGCTGAGTCTGGCTTTGAACTTTTGATTCTTCTGCCTCAGCCTCCTTATCAGCTGGGATTACAGGCATGCACCACCATGTGTGGTGTATGGTCAGGATTTTTCAAAAAGGTAGAAACGGTTTAGTTGATTTTTTTTAACTGTTGGTTTAGGTGTCTTGCTGAAGGCCTGAGGCACTGGCCACGTGGTAATTTTATCTTGGTGAATCACTGCAGTTTATGGTGACTGCCTGAATGGTTGTTTGTTTTCAAAGAGGTGTTACTACATGCAACAGATATTCATCATATTGCACAGGGGTCTCTAAGGTGTGGGTTGGTGACTTTAGCAGAAAGGAGGAGTCTGTGTAGTCTCAGCAAAGGGACAGTCCTTGGAGTCCTGTGCTATTCAGAGCATTCCAACCAAATACTAGCCAGATAGGGACCTCAGCAAATGCCATCTGTTAATGGTCTAGGAAGCAAAACCTGTCTTTTTGGCCTCGGGAAAGAAGAAGCTATAAGGAAGTCTTATCAAATGCTCAGGATTTAAGGGTGTTGGTTTCTGTGGCTTGATTTTAGATGACATAGATGCTAGCCTTTACATAGGTGCCCTGGTCAGCCAAACTCTTCAGTGTGGATTGAAAGCTCAATAAGATGAGCTTTCAAGATAAGAATGAGAAAAGAGAATCTTTCCATACACAGGCCTTTTAGTCATTGCTAGAGAGAGCAATAATTGCTACTTTTACATGGCAAAGCTCCTGAGTTTCCTGTAACATTCTGGCTTTAAGTAGTCAGCTTAAGATAGTTAGCTCTAGATAGGTTGACCCCAAATCCCACTTTGTTTGTTAAGAAGGAAATTGAAGAGGTCAAACTTGGATTACCACATCTTGCCTGGGAGCTTAAAACATTCCCCACAATGTGCTCTCAAGCTGGCCTTAGATTGCATAATTATATATGAGGGAGAAAAGTCTTGAAGACATGTTTTGTAGGCATTAGTATTCCACTGTAAGAGGCAGCAGAAGTACCTATTCATGGCAGGGTGAGTACTGTGGCCCTATGTAAAACACCAACATAGTTCATACTGGGGTACTACCAACACAGGGATCAAAGACCAGGTGACATTAGAGAAGGATTGAACATATTGGCACAGAAAGAAACATACCTAAAAATATGGCAATGTCTGACTGCCATCATCATGAGGCTATTAAAGAAGACAGCAGTGCCTTAGATGCTACTCTGAGAGAGAGAGCAGAGCTGGATTGTGCTTGTGTATTCCACAAAACTGGCATAGATTAGTTGATAAAAACAAGAAAAAAAATTTACTATCCAGCTTCTAAACTACTGAATTTCTGCCAAAGTCTTTGGGAACTGCCTTTGAATTGGAATATGCACTCAATTCTGAGAATATAATTTAGTTTATGGAAACTACTAAATGGCTTGGAATTGACTTTGTTTTTGAAGTGGGGTTGGTAAGGGCCAGTGATATGATAACCTGGTGCATCCAATTCACTATAAAATCTTCACAAAGTGAGACATAATTCTCTGCAGTGAAACTGAAATTGCATTAAACTGTTTAAATCTTGACAGAATTATTCCATTCCAATAAAAGGCAAAAGTCAAAGTTTAACTGAAATAAGAACCCGAGTCCTACCACAGCATCAAGAATTCACCTGAGATGAAAAAGTAGGGGATAACAAATTTGGGACTTAAATTTTAAAAAAATTAACTCACATAGTCAGATATTTGATATCAGTCTTCGAATTTTCACTAAAGAATGTGAATGCTGGATAACTTTGAATTTTAACCTAAACAAAAAAATTTAGTTGTCAAATTTCTAATTTCTTAAGAAGTTTGTAATGATTATTTTTTTTGTTGTAATTTGTGGCATTTTAGAGTTTTGTTATTTGACTATATTAAACTTTTCATGTAGTCTCATTATGGAACCATTTATAAACTATATTGGTCCCTAGGTATAATTTGAAGTGAGAAATAGAGTGTGAAATCTGGAAATTATTTAATTGAAGAAGTGCTACGATTCATTTCAGGATGTTTAGGCAAATCTTTACTTCCCACCATGTGTCTCCAGGATTGTGATCAAAGAATCTATAGTTGGCATGGTATTGTGGCCACATGAAAATGACAGCAGAACACTGTCCTGATAGACCACTGCACTCTGCCATGAAAGAGCAATGAGTCCATTGAATGCTTAAGGCTACATCTAATGGTTTAAAACAAAGAAACCGGGGAAGTTGGGGAAGGAGGGGAAATGAGTGCTCCCATTCTTGATCTTTCTTCTACAAGAATAACTCTTCTTCTAAACACTCATGCCTCCTTATGGGTAATATTTGATTTGCAAGGTGACTTTATCCAAAGAATGATATTAATTTTCCATATTCCATATTCAATACCTTTCCATTATTTAAAACTACCAAGAGTATTCCATATCAGATATTACTGAATAGTTATATTCAGCTGGAATTCTTATGTAAATAAGGATAAACTTGATCTGAAGTGTACTCTATAAATATTTTCAGTCGTAAGGTATGATGGGTTAATATTTAGATTGAATTTTAATAGCAGATATAAGTCAATATGTCCTTTTAATTATAGTTGCTCTTGTTATTTTAGGGAGTTGGGCTGCTGAAAAAGAAGGGTGATAATTATTTATGTTTCTGGGATCTTTTTTTTTTTTTTTTTTTACCAATCTCACAAAGTACCAAGTAACTTCTACAATAAGGATTGAGATTCTGGCAATGACTAAGTTGTGTACTTGTCCATGCCAATTGCTACCATGGTACAAATACATCCTTATTTTCAACTGTTTTCTATTTTTGTAAAGTAGGTAAATGTTAAAAATCTATTTGGGTGTGTGTTTATGCGTATGTCTTTAAATTATCATCAGATTCCCCTGGATGCAGCACTATCTATTTTCCTTTTTTCCCCCATGGGATTTAAATCACAGTTTCTCACCAATTTTAGGACTTTGTTTTTCCATCATTAAACAGCCCATTCTTACCACTAAACACAGCTGAAGACTGGCTAAAGCCAACTATGAAGAAAGTAGTTATACCTGACTATAATTTGGGGCTAACCATGACATTTCCTCCTTGGTTTTTTTTGTGTAATTTTTTTTTCTTTTATGGATCTAGACTTCTAAATACAAGGTGGAATCAGGTTATTTATAATCTTTTAGCATAAACTCATACTGCTGACACATTTAGGGGTGTTAGAGTAGAAATCTTGTAGCTCATTCTTGAGTCAATTTCCTTATTATTCATTGAGTTAAATATTTGAAATGAATTCCTATAGTATATCACAACATGAGAAGAGATTCCTATCCATTCCAGCCTTTCTTGGATTTTGCCTGGATTATTTCCCATAGTCTCTTCATCTGTCTTCCTCTAGTGTGTCACGTTCATGCAGTCACAACACCAATGAGTCCAACTTTTTAAAACTAAAAATTGCTCTGTCATTCCCTGCTTAAAAT